ATTTCAATATGTAACCCATATTAAAATTAATGAAATATTTAACATTTTCTTTTCATACTAAATCTTGGCAATGTAGTGTTTATGTCACATAGCCCATTTCAATTTGGACTAGCCACGTTCAAGCACTCAAATAGCCACACAGCTCTACAAGATGCTAATGAGCAAGGAAAATGGCTTACTTTAGTGGAAATCCAGAAAGGCCAAGGTTAGAAATACAGTTTCTCAAGGGTCTGAAATAGACTTTGAAATCACTAGTCCAAATACTATTTGATATTTGAATCTTGTCTACAACGTTTCTATCAAGGAGTCATCCAAGACTAGTGGTTGACTCACACTCCAGAGATAGCGAGCTCACTGCTTCCTGAGGCTAGCCTGTCTTCAACTCAAAAAAATTATTTCCATTAAGGCACACATGTTTTCTTATAGTGTCCACCCTGGATAGATGGGTACCTGGAAGTCAGGAGTGACTAGTAGACCTTTATGATGTGGGATTAGAGATAAAGTAAACACAGCCTTGCTAAAGGCATAATCAGGTTGGTTTATGGCCTTTCATGGACCTTAGTTAGGTTGAATAATTAAGAGGTTTGTTAGGCTAAGAAGGACTGGGCAAGTTAAGAACTAAAAAATGTCACCACTGAGTTAGGAACTGTTAGAAGGCTATAGAGCTGAGTATCTGGTTAAAATCGTCCAATAGACTGCAGCAAGACTAACAGACAGAAAGAAAAAGGTTATATATCCATGCAAATTTTGCTAATAAGGAGAAAGAATTTCACTAATGTGGACATAGTGATTGGGAGAATCATTTGACTTATTACAAACTTTAAAAATCTTCCCAAAGTAAAACATAATTGGGTTCTAACTCATAAAGAATGTCATTTCTATTAGGCGTGTGTTACCAAAAAAAAAAAAAAAGTTATCCTAAATCTTAACGTATACATATTTCATCAAAGAATTTCCAGACCCAGAAATCAAAGGCACTTCAAAAGTCTCATTTCCTATCTTGAGATCGTTTTAACATATTCCTTCCGCAAAAACACTCTGGAAACCAGAAAGCTTTTTTAAAATTTAATTCAATAAAAATGACACCGACTGGCTCAATTATGATGGGTTCTGAGTGGCGGTTGAAATAACACATTTTTCCTCTATTTCTATTTCCTCTCTCTCTCTCTCTTTTTTTTTTTTTTTCTTTTTTTTTTTTTTTTTTGGTTTCGAAGAGGTGTTCTTTCTTTTCCGGGCCACCTTCACCCTCCCGCACTCCCCAATTCTACCTTTCCAAGGCAGGGGAAGGTGCATCCTCGCCAGGCTCCTGCCCGCACGCCTTCTGAGTACCCCCGGCCCGCACCCGGTGACAAGGCGCGCGGGATATCCTTGAACCGGTTCGGTTACATCTCTGCCCCTGCGAGGCTGCAGATCGCTGACCACCCCGCGCACCCCCGCCTGCCTGCACACTGTCAACCGCACTTAGGGGAAAATTTTGGAACAGAAGCTCCGCCCATTCTCCTCCCTTCTGCCTCCACAAACCGGTTCAAAACCCCCACCTCCGGCCGCCGAAGCAGGTTTCGCCACACGTTGTGGGGGACTGTATTTTTTACAAGAAAACAAGCATCCAAAAAAAAAAAATTCAAACTGCACGCGCCGGCCAATGGGGAAGAAGTAGGAGGTGGGCGGAGGCGGCGCGCGGCGCGCGCGGCGGGGAGGGGGCGCCGGGCGGGCGCGGAGGCTGGGACCGCGGGGGATTCGGAAAATGCGGCGGGCGCCCGGTTCGGGGCTTTTTTTTTTTTTTTTTTTTTTTTTTTTTCCCCTCCTCCCAAACCAGCTGGAGCGCGAGACTCCGCCTGAAACTGCAGCCTCTCGGATCCACCTTAAATCTTCAGCGGACTCGGCTCGGGGTCAGTGGGCGCAGCCAATGCCAATCAAGTTTACAACCAGCAGCACGGGAGGGAAAAAAGAGGAAAAAAAATCCTCTGCAAGTCCCCCTACACAAAATACGCGCGCACACACACACACGCACCCGCGCGCGCGCGCGCGTACACACACACGCACACACACACACGCGGAAAGGAGGGGCTGGGGCAGGCGCTCGGGAGAGGGCGAGAATGTTTGCGAAATGCGAGTCCTAGGCTCCAGGGCCGCGGCCGGAGCGCGGGGAACGCGGCCCGGCCCTAGCGCCATGATGGTCGCCGCGGCTCTGAGCCCGTTTTCTGTAAGGGGAGCCGCAATGATGCAATCCCCCGGCCGCGCGCCCTGCTCCCTTCCTTTTCTCAACGTTCCTTCGGAGGCGCGTCGAGGTTTCGCGCCCAACTCCTTGATTTCTTTTTGTACTGCTCGCTCTGATGCCTGCCCGCCGTGTGTCCCCACGCGTGACAGGCCTGGCGCGCAGGCGGCGGCAGAGGGGCTGGGGCTTACGTGTCAACTCGGCACTTTCGGTTCCGTGGGGTCTGCCCGCGGCGGACCCCAGCCCAGCCCAGCCGGTGGCCGTTGAAGTTTTCCAGCGGGATTGTGGGCCCCTTCCCCACCCCCAGCTACGCCCGTAGGATTTTTTTTTTTAAACCTCCCTTTTGGCGGAGAGGGGGGTGGGTGGGCGTAGGGAGTGTCCCAGGTGAAAGACACGCAAGTTTTAAAAAGAAATTTAGACTCTCAACACCAGACCCGAGATCTTAGACGAGCTTTAGAATCACCTTTTTCAGTGCGAAGAGCTTGAGAAGAGCAAGTGTGGGCGCTGTGATAATGAAGATGAAATGGCGAAGGCAGCGTCCCCCGTCCTCCGCCAAAGTCGCTCCGTGAGGCCGGAGTTGGTGGGCGCATCCCAGTCTGAGAGGCCGCTCGCCCCGCTCTCCGCCTGTGAAGCCCACGTTCCCGAAGTCCCCCAAGCACGCCCCCAGGTCCACATTTCCCCCGTCCCAGGACCTCGCGCCGGGCAGCCGGGGATGCGATAGAGGGACGTTGCCGAGCGGGGGTGAGGGCGCAGGGGACCCCCGCGGGCGTCAGTGGCGCTGGGTCCGGGCCGCGCGCCGCTGTGGCCCTCCGCGGGCGCGGTCGAGCCGGGCGGGCTTTCGAAATGCGCGGGGCTGCGGATCATTGGAGCCCGGGGTAGGGGTGGGAGCGGGCTGCCGCGCCCGAGGGTCCGCGAACTCGGGACGGCGCTACCCTTAGCTCTGATATCCCCACGGCCCGGGAGGCGGCCGGTTACTCAGGTGGAGCGTCCGTTTGCGGAGAGTAGGGGCTTTCGCTGCTATCTCAGCGCAGAGGAGAGGATGAGGGAGGAAAGTTTCTGAGAAACCGCCCAGCCCAGCTGTGTGGCGGAGGCGCGGCCGCCCTGCGCGGCCTGCGGGCGCCCGGGCGCGGGAACTCTGCGCGACGACTGGGGCAGTGCGGGGTCTGCACGTTACAGATGGGGAGCAAGACTTGATGGCCTTTTCGTCCCGAGGCACCAGCCAGCCCGACCTTGCAATTGCCGCGGCGGGCAGGCGCGGGACTGCGGGGCCGTTTGGGGAGACGACGACGCAGTGGCCTGGGTAGCCGGGCCAGGGGTGGCGGGCGCCGGCGGCCGCATCCCCGCAAAGGGACTCTCGCGGCGGCCCCAGCAGACCTGGTCGCGGGGAAGGACGAGCTGAACTGTGGGTCACTTTTGGAAGCTTGACACAAGCGGGTAAAGGACGAAGGATACGGTGACTCGAGGCTGCGTTCCTGTGAACGTGCCTGGCGCGGCGAGCATCCACTTCTCCCTGGCCCGCATTCCTAAAACGCAATCTCTCAAAATTCTCTTTAAAGATGCCTCTTTACGAAAGGAGACTGGGGTGCCTGCAGCGATTCAGGCGATATTTTTTCCACTGTTAGAGGCACTTTCTGAATTATCTTTTTTTTTTTACTCAGAGGAACTTTCATTATTTTCTGACCCTCCACTGTTCCTCCCCATTTCGAATTGTTTTTCTTGCTCCCTCAGTCTGTTTCTGAAAAACACTCTTGGATGCGAGTTTTAAATAAAATCACAAAACACCTTTGGTCTTTCATTAAAATAATAGCTACTTGAAGGATGTGGACCAGCCACTAAAGGACCTATATTTCCCTTCCAGGAGGCCGGAGTCCAACCTGTTCAAAAAAAAAAAAAAAAAAAATCTTAGGGTCAAAAACTGTTGAAACTATTATTTGAGAGCTCCTTTGGGGGTACGATAAATGGAAATGTAGATATCTGAGCCAAACAATTTAACCCAAATCCAGATTTTTTACGATTTACCCACTTACTAAGTCCTACAACTAAAATTTGCTATTACACCTTAAACGCATTTTTTTAAATGTGGAATTACAGGAAATCATCTTAGTAATTTGACTTTAAAAATGCTTTCTACTTTTTTCCTTCCGTAAAAAATATATATCTGCTGTATGGATATGGAGATTCAAAACCCTCAGATTTGATTACTTACATTAGCCAATTTTCAGTTGTGTAGATTATAACAAGGATATTTAGAAATTGAAATGATTTTTATGACAACCAGTTAAATTTTATAAATAACTACCTAGTGTAGAGCACACACCAATTTCTTAAGGGCCCCTGTGTGAATATTTTAAGCAAGATTTGTCTATTAGATGGTCCAAACAATTGCTTTAATTCCTCATAACACTTCTCATGTGTAAATAGAGAAGTCACCATGTTACTTTCGTTTTCAATCCTGCGAATGTGTATCAGTCTACACTTATGTAAGGATTTTTTGGTTCTGACATGTTCATATCCTAGAAGACATTTTCACTAACGCAGACTTTGACAATCTTATTCATATGAAAATGTAGCTTTTCCATTTTCACCTTCAAAAGTTTTTTCCACCCACACAGAGCTAAGTGGAAAACACTGCTAACTACATTCGGACTACATAAAACATCATCTGGGTTGTGGGCCTGAATTACCTAGGTATTTGCCACTTCACATTTACATTTGTGTAAATATGACTAGAATGCCAGGTCAAACACCTCGTTTGCTAAAGCACATTACAATTTGACTCAATGAATAGCTATGGAAGTTTTCTTTATTGATTGCTTAATGTGTAACAATAATTGGCATCCTTTTCACACATTACAAAAAATTATACTTGGCTCAGTATGCAACCTTTTAAGCATAGCCATATTATTTAACAAAAGAGGAAGAAAACCTAGTCTACCCAGTACAGCATTTACAAATGCACAGAACATGCCACTTTGGCTTGTATATTGTCTAGATTAAAAAAAAAAAAAATCTTTTAACATAAATAAGTTAGTATAATTTTTCAGTGTTTTTACAGAGTTATGTACACAGGTACACTTCAAATGGTTTTTTCATACACAGGCAAAGAAATACTGTTTAAAGATGTAGTATCCTTTTCACTTAATCCTACAAGTATGATTTTCTCTGCAGGAACCTTTCTTTAAAAATACCACTTTCCTTTGGATAAATGGACAGAGTAGGAAGCTTTAAATTAAAAATTATTTCATTTTTTAATGTGAAATTATAGATCTTTAAAAATATCAAGGGATTTAGAATTATTTTGACTGTGCTTACACAGCTCAAAATGAAAAGAAAATGAAGAAATTTTGTCAACAAATTGAATGAACGCAGATGGTCAATTCTGAACATTCAGAACTCCCCCCAAGCACCTCGAATTTTTGCCCCAAACCACCTGGAGTGATTACCAGTCCACTAAATAATTAACTGTGAAATTCCAACTTTTAAGAGAGGCTGTGGAGGACACTCAGGGTAGATTTTTTTTGCTTTTATTAAAAAGCCATACACAGCTATCTAACAATTTAGATAACTTAGGAGATCACCAGATCACCAAGTGAGAATAAACTTCCTATAAAAATAAAGAGCAATTATCTTTAGCCAGTGTTCAAATTTTGGCAATTTTTTATATGAACTATCAGCCGTGTCTGAAAGGGACATTACATCTTTAAAGAAAACAATGCAAACCCTTCCCCAAAATTGCTTTTCTTCATACAAGTCAAATATTTATCTACTTGCTGTAAATCAAAGCAAGCTCTTCATACCCCCCCTCCATGTGAGTTCCTCAGCCCCACCCCACCCTCCCTTCCCCAAAGTTTATGTGCTACATAAAAGGTAAAAACTATATACACAGGTAGTACAATGAAGCAAATAAGGAAAAACCTAATTGCATAATGCTACATCCAATGCTTTTAGAGGCAGATCATTTAAGAGTGCCTAAAATTTTAGTGTTATTGTGTTGTTGCTTCTCAGTGCTTATTACAGGATGTCCATTCCATGAAGTCAGCGATATGTATTTTAAAAATTTTCATGTCTATCTTCCTTGCTTCATCAAGCAGTGATGTATCTGATAAACAAGGAAACATATTCTTAATTCTGCAAAAGAAAACAAGACAGAAGAATTAGAGGAAAACCACTAGAGTAATGTTACCAATAGACTACAGGAATTATTTTGTCACTATGTTAGTGTGGAAATAAACTTGAGTGATGGGGAAAAACGTATGTACTCAAGTCTGATGACTACACTCATCTCCACTTAATATTCTCTTAACTGGGTTTTTTTCCCTCTCCGACGCTGTGTACTTTTGTCTAGAGCAGTGGTTCTTAACAGTGGGCAGTGTTGCCCTTGCGCCCCAGGGAACATTTGGCAATGTCTGGAGACATTTTAGGTTGTCACACTGGGGGAGAAGATGCTGCTGGCATCTAGTGGGAAAGGCCAGGGATACTGCCAAACAATCTAAAACGCACAAGGCAGTCTCCTACAACAAAGAATTACTCGGCCCAAAATGTCAGTAGTGCAGAGGTTGAGAAACCCTAAAGAATCTAGGTCACAGACAAGTGGGAAAGAAACAGGAAAATTAGGAAACTAATAATTAAGGGTAAAAATTGACAAATTTCTTATTCAGAAATTTTTTATTTAAAAAATTAATTTTTTAAAAATTTTTTTCTCTACTCCTGTGACATTAAATTTTCTAAATTTGAAAAAATGATTGGGAATAAAAATTAGAGGCCTTCCAGAAGAAAATTTTATTAACATCATTTTCAAAATTTTTTTTATTCCTACGCAGAATTTACTCATGAATCCTTTTGAGTAAGTTCTTAACTAATATTTCTAGTATTCTTTGAACTGGCAATATTACTAACAAATGCCTCTCTGCATGTCAGAACATGGCCAGATCAAAATCCAGGTCTGATTCTCGTGGCTCATCTGATGAGCTAGGTTACAAGTCACAAACCAACAGGAGCTGCGAGTGTTAAGGCTGCTTCGGGAAAATTTTCACCTAATTTTTTCACTTCATTTGGTGCTATGAAACAGAGGTTCTATAGTACCGTTTTGGATAAGCTCTGAAAAATATAAGGTATAGTGAAGTCGAATACACGATTCAAAGACACAACAAACCTGAATCCCACCTTAATCCCTGTTAAAATTTTTATAAATGAGGATTTAATAAGTTAACATCAATATTTATTAAGATCACCTCATATGCTAAGCTATGTATGTGCTTTAAAAAAGAAAGAGGTCACAGTCTTGGTCTATAAGACACTAGCAAACTGTTAATATGTATGTTAATTCGATAATTATGACTAGCTAATCCATGTACATTTGGGGGCTGAATTATTCAAATTAGCTATAAACGGTGATCAGATTCTTGAGTACGGAAAAATCTCCACTTCCTTTGTGCTGGGTTGACCCACGGTCACCAGTCTTGATATTTACTACCCATTTCCCCTACAAATATCGAAATCACCCTGTTACAGCACAATTAGCATACACTGGCTGACGTGTTCATGGATTGCTTACTGACAGAGTTAATTTAACTTCTGCTTTGCAACTTCAGTGTTCCCAGAAATTGAGAAACTTTAGTAATTTTTTTTATCTTTCCATTTTGCTTTTTGTGAATACTGATTCCTTCTCTCTACAAACTCTCTATACAAACTCTCTAGAACAGAGAAAGTGACTATGAAAATGTCAAAGGTAGAACACAACATAGCACCCTATTCACATCTCTAATCCCTTGCATCACCAAAGGTGAGCAATCTCTACCAAATATTCCCCTCAAAATTTAAACTTAATTTGTATTTGCCATTTTTCCATGTATGGCTCAAAAATGTTACTGACTCAAGCTGAACCTCCGGGAAATGAATTCTCATGAAGTGGGACTGAGGGAGTACCCCAATTCTTATTCAGATGGGGAAAGAACCTATTGTTATATGTTTCAGTGGGACTCACAGAAAAATGACCTTCCTACCCGATGGGGTCTTGGTTACAGTAGCTGCTCTGGTCTGCTATTTCAAGAGAAAGTATCTTCGGGCAAAGAAACTTTGAAGAATTACAGTATGCCCACAGTGATTCCCAGCCTTTCCAATCGCTACTTTTTTGACCTCACGAAGCATAAACAAAACAAAACCCCACAGGCTTTTAATCTGCCAGCAAACAGTAAGATCAGGTATCGTGAGTTCTGAAGGCCCTGGTTTCCAGTGCGTGCTCCTTTACTGATCAAACCCACCGAGCTGTTTACGTCTGATGTCTTCTGAGGCCAGGCTTCTTGGGCGTCTGCTCCACAGAACCGGCATTCGGGGAACCGTCTGAAACATTTTCTTCTGTTCTGTTGGCTCTTTTGTTTTGAGTAGAAGAATCTAAGAGTGGGGGAAATTTTTTAAAAGAACACACAATCTTTATTAGAAAAAACAATGGATGGCAGAAGTTGGCCCGATATTTAGAGGATGAAAAACCCACTACCTCCACCCACAATCCTGGATCCGTCATCCCAAACGGCCTTTAAGGGCATAAAATGAGGTTGTTTTCAAAAAACAGAAAGTGTATTCTCCGCCCCAGAGCGCTCTCGCCAGCCAGGAGGCGGACCATTGATAAACATCCCAACTTTGTCACATACCTAAGGCTGGCTAGTGGGAGGGACCGCGATGTCTTAAATTAGGGAAATTATCGGATCTTACCATCTCCAGTTTCTGACTTAAAAGTTACAAACAGACATGCAGTGGGTCAGGAAGCACTGGAAACCTAAGACCAATAAAGTTCGCTCTTCCAAAGCTAAATCAGAATACACCGGAAAGCAACCTGAGGTTAACACCCTCCAGCAGGCAAAGCGGGGCCCCAGAAACAGACAATCTACGGTTGGGAAGGGGCCATTACCGTCAGCTGCAGGTCGCTTCCTTATTCCTGCGCACTGCTCCGCTAACCCCGTCTGGCTGTCGGACGGATCAGTCTTTGGGTCTACCAAGTGGGTGTCCTCAGAGTTAGCCGGAGCCCCAATTAAAGGCGCCGCCGGGCGGCTCCCGCTGACATCCTGGCTCTCCTGAGCCGGCACCTTGCAGGCGCCTTTGGGGGGCCGCGGGGGTCTGTAGTAGAACTCAGGCAAGCTGCCCTTCTCCACCTCTTGCCACTCGTACTTGCCCTCCAGGGGCTTGTGATTCTGAAAATCGAAATTCCACTTGAGCTGGCTCGCCTCTTCCATGTCTCTGCAGTGCTTCTCCAAGTCCCGGGTTAACTCTTCGTGGTCCACCGGGCCGAAGAGGTTTCTGCAGGCCGAGGGCTTGGGGTGGTCCGCCTGCCTGGAGTCCATCCGCTCCAGGCTGGGACTCCCGTTAGACATTCGCACGTTTGACATCTTCCCCCCGGATCTGTACGGCCGCCTCTCTCGCACTCTCAAAACAAAACAAAACGCCCCTACGCAGCCCGAACCCCACTCGGCAGCCCAGCGACTGCCCTCGGAGCCAAAAGACACAGACCCGGACGAGCCACGGCGAGCTACAGGAGCGCGCAGGGTCTGCGGGAAGGGGCTGCGGGGAAGCCCCTGCCCAGCCGCCGAGAGTCTCCGCTGATCAAGTGGACTGGCGAGTGGGAGGGCGGGGAGGGGAGGGGACCAGGCAAGCGGAGGGGGTGGCAAAGCCCGTCCGAGTCCGGGCGGTGCAAGCCCGCGAGTCCCGCGAACCCAGCCGCTCTCCAAACCTTGCGGGCGTCGGAGTCGCGGAGCCGTGAGCAAGCGGGGACAAGGGAGGGGGCGAAAAACACCCCGAAAAGACGAGCCCCGTTTTTTAGTGGCCCAATATGGCGGTGGAAGGGAGGCTGACGAAGAAGAAAATGATTGACACGGCTAGTCTATTTAAACAGAGGAGGAGATCCATTGGTTGCGGCGCCGGGAGCCGCCCCGCCGAGGCTGGCTAGCGCAGCCTTAAGGTGGCCCCTGCGCGGTTCCGCCTCCTCCCCGCGTTCCCGAGCGCGCCGCCTCCCCGAGCGCCGCCGGGAGATTGGCTGGTCGCGTGACTGCTGGAGGTGTACTGCTGCCAACAAACCTGCTCTGGCTGGCCTCGGAGAAATTAAAATTAAGACAAACAAACTAGCCAAACGGCCGGGAACCTAGGGCGGGGCCTGGGGTTCGGGGCCCGGCGCTGCGCTGGCGGGCACGCCGCGGCCCCTAAGTCCCAACCTCCCGCTCCTCGACCGCGAAGCCGGGGGCCTAGACCAGAGGACCTCGAAGGTCACCAGCAGCTCGCTTAGAGCCGGAGTTGCGAGCTGCCCCCAGCTCAGCCTTCCCCAGTGACCCCCACCTCGCGGCTTGTGGGGGAGGCCGTGGAGCGTTTGCTGGGGCGGGGGGGGGGGGGCTGGGCACCGCCCTTGCCGGTTTGCCTTAGCTGGGGGTGGGTGGAGGCGGTGGGCAGTGGTTCGCTCAGCCTTACCCAGAAGTTTCTGCCATCCCTGGGGAGATAGGAGGCCTAGGGAAGAAGCCAAGGCAAAGGTCTTTCTTTTAGAAATTAGCCAGGAGTAGACGAGGCACTTATCATGAACTCAAGCTCTCCTTCAATGAAAATAAGAAAGGAACTCAAGATTAAAAACAAAAACTCGAGTAGTCTCTCAAGTCCATTAATCTGTAGCTGCCTCAGACACATTTGGTTTTCAAAAACGAGGTTACACCCCTGGCCCAGGCTCTTGCTTCCCAAGCACAGTTAAGGCCATGGACGTTGGCTGCGTGTGGGAACTTGTCTCTTTCTACTTTTCAGTTCTTTCCCGGGATTGTAGCAGTTTCCTCTACCTGATTCCAGCCGCCAAATACAACAGCTCCTTCCTTCCTCCACCCTTCTTTCACCAGATTTCACTGCTCCAACAAACTCAGAACAATATTCAGATGCTAGTGAATACTTTCACAGGGCTGAAGGGTGAAAATACTCCCCTCGGGGTCAAACTCCACATGATGAAATGATTTTTTAAACCACCAAACCATGTCCTAATGTCCAATACTGGTATTCCAGCGTTTCTCTGCTTCCTTTTGCAGCTGGAAATCTCTCTCATTGTGGGCTTGAGCACCGTGGTGGAAGGTGAAGTAGGACGATGAGCAGGGCTGCCTTGAGACAAAGCTCAGTGGATCTTCAGCTGCTCTCCCTACCCCCATGCCCAGTACCTATCATCTTGGTTTGGGCCAAAGTTAATGCATTTTACTGGGAACCAACCTTCCGTTCTAATATTACACAGCAGCATAATTTTCTTAATGCACCTATGCTACAGATGAACTTCATGTGTAGCGTGTTTTCTAGCCACATCTTGTTTGTCCACTTTGTGTGCCTACCTCATCTCATACACTCTAGAATGTGACAGCTGGAAGGGACCTTCGAGACCCTGTGGTTTAACCCTCTCGTTTTTACCACGGAGGAAATTGAGACTCAGAGAGGTTTCCTGTCCAGGGACATGCATTCGGTTGGTAACGGATACAGGACTAGCTGCAGGTCTCCTACCACTCCGGTTGGTTCATTTTCTGTTCCTTTCCTTCCTGATGGTCCTCACTGGTTCAGAGTTTTGTCTGGATTTGATTGTGCTGCAGTCTGCAGGTCCTGCTGTCTTACAAGTGACTCAAAATGGCTCCCTCCCAGGCCCTGGGTTGCCTGCAGATGTTTCCTTGATGCGGCCTGTGGTCGCTGATATTTAAATGCAGCTGTCACAGGCCTTTGGTATTACCATCCACTAGTTCAACTAAAATACAGATTCTAGAAAAACAGGGGTGATACCCAGAGAGCAGTAAAGGAGGCTGTGCCCAGAGCTAGTTTTAAAGTCAGGACTTCTACCTAACCGACAGAAAAGAATTCACCTAGGATCAAGCAGGAGATCTCATTCTCTTTATTTTTTCTACTTTCAATGCTCTCGATTTATTGGACTGAAAACCGGGAGAGAAGGGACAAGAAGATTAGGGTAGGCCTTACTACCATAATTTATACCTTACTCCGAAATTAGATAGTTGTCCAAATTTTAAAACAATTGCTAGACAGTACAGGAACTCTGTATTATATATGTGCATCTATCCATATGCATAAACACCCAAACTACCACATATATGTAAATGGACACATTCTAGAGTATTTCACCTTGCCACAGCAGTTTTATTTTACTCATGGAATTCATGTCTTATATGAAAGTAGAAAATTAACACTTCGATCCCCTTCACATGCTGAATCTTTCAACTAATATGTAGGAGCACCATTTTGTCGCTTTTTTTGTTAATCTCGACAAGTAAGCAAGTCACAGTCACGCCACCTTAAGAGGTCTGGCTGCCAAAAGAAAGGCTTTGCTTACAACGACCTCGCAATGATCTAAAGTGTTTTGTTTACAGTCAAGACACCGGAGATCTGTACAGCAAATAATGAGAACGCAAGCGTCTGCTGTAGTAGCCACGAAGCGTGAAAAAATATACTATGGAGTCCCCTAAGGAAGAGGGAGCGGGGAGATCAGAACGCCATCCTCCTGTGGAGTGGGCAGCTGCAAGTGAGTAAGCCAGGGAGAAAATTTTCAGATAAACAGTGTTAAAGGCGGAGCCTGGTAGAAGACAGAAAGCTCTACGCTGCACTGCTCTGAAGTGCACTCTGTTTCCCCAAGACCCCCAGTCCTGCGTGATGTTTTGGTTGCCATTTTCACTGCTGTTTTCCTACTTAGAGCTGAGAAGTGTCCCATAAGCCATCCCAGATTTCTGTATGTTTCACAATCTGAGGAGAGAGGCAAAGACCAAAACAACTTAAGAAAAAACACCTGTGTCACAGACAAGTGTTAAGAGTGGGTGGATGGGCAAGCCTCCGGCATCTCCAGCTCCCAGATGCAGCGCTCTCACCGGGGAGTTGTGCAGCCCCGAATGTTTCTGAGAAGGTTCACGGTTCCTTGCTCAGCGGCCCCTCCCACTGCAAGCACACAGTTTCAGTCCTTCCTCGAGGATGTTTATAATGAGGCAGCACTCAACTCCACCATTCTTCTACGCTCACATATTTTTAGAGTTTAGGAATTTCACAGTCGTCTCTTTCTGACACTTTTAATTAAATTTCACAAATATTTACGGAGCACCTTCTATTAATTTGCTTATTCCTTCTTTCTTTCAAAAAATATTTGAGTGCCTCCTCGATGCCAGACATTATCCTAGGCTCTGGGAATACAGAGGTAAACAAACAGATTTAAACTAGAATGATGCTGACGTTCCAAAAGAGGGAGGGAAGACAGAAAATGAACAGCCCATAAAAGAAATACATACTGTGTAAGGAGGTGAAAAATGCTACGAAGAAAGAATAAACTGGGGAGAGGGAAAGGGAATGTTTCAAGGATCACAACGTGAATAAGTGGTCAGGGAAGGCCTTATTGAGAAAGTGGCCTTTGAGGCCAGGTGCAGTGGCTCACACCTCTAATCCCAGCACTTTGGGAGGCAAAGGAGGGTGGATCACTTAATGTCAGGAGTTCAAGACCAGCCTGGCCAACATGGTGAAACCTCACCTCTACTAAAAATACAAAAATTACCCAGGCATGGTAGTTCAGGCCTGTAATCCCAGCTACTCAGGAGGCTGAGGCAGGAGAATCACTTGAACCTGGGAGGTGGAGGTTGCAGTAAGCCAAGATCTTGCCACTGCACTCCAGCCTGGATGACAGAGGGAGACTCGGTCTCGGGGGAAAAAAAAGTGGCCTTCGAGAGAGCCCTGAAGAGATGAGAGAGCAGCCATGCAGCTCTCTGGGGAAAGAGCATCCCAGTAAAGGGAAGAGCAAATCAAGTGCCTCTGAAGTGAGATCTTGCCTAATGTGTTCAAAACAGCAGAGGGGCCCATGGCGTGGACAAGGCGAGCAAGTGGGGAGTGGTAATAGGAACTTCAGGGCCAGGTGCTGTTGCTCATGCCTGTAATCCCAACACTTTGGAAGTCCGAGGAAGGTGGATCACTTGAGGTCAGGAGTTCAAGACCAGCCTGGGCAACATGGTAAAACCATGTCACTACTAAAAATACAAAAATTAGCCGGACATGGTGGTGGATGCCTGTAATCCCAGCTACTCGGGAGGCTGAGGCAGGAGAGTTGCTTGAACCTGGGAGGTGGAGATTGCAGTGAGCCCAGATGGTGCCACTGCACTCCAGCCTGGGCAACACAGAGCGAGACTCTGGGTCCCTGACCTGATTTGGGCGAGACAGAACGAGACTCTGTCTCAAAAAAAAAAAAATGAGAGAGCATCGGACCAGGTAGGTGTAGATAGGGCTTTTATCATTGACCTGGTGATATGGTAAGCCTCTGGGGCATTAGGAGGTTTTAAGCAGTGATCAATATCACATGTAAGGTATTGTCCAAGGCATTATTCTCAACAACGTGGGAAGTAAATAAATGTTTAAGTCACAGTCCTTGCCTTTAGGGAGTATATACCATGTGCACAAAAACTAGAGGTAGGAACCAGGCCTAGTGGCCTGCACCTGTAGCCCTAGCAACTTGGAAAGCTGAGGTGCGAGGATCACTTGAGCCCAAGAGGTCGAGGCTGCAGTGAGCTATGATCGTGCCATCACAGTCCAGCCTGGGTGACAGTGCAAGACATCAGCTCAAATAAACTAGAGATAGAAAGCAGTACATAGAAAAACATGATGCTATGAAGTACAAAGCAAGGAGAAGGAGGAAGGTCTCATGGAAAAGGTGATATATGAGTCAGATCTTGAAGAATAAGAAAATGTCAAGATGATGATGATAAGGCTGTATTGGTAGTGGGGTAAGGGGGGATGGGATCAGACAGTGGTTGAACATGGATGGCATGCTAAAAAATCTGTTGCTCAGTAAGCGCTGCAAACTGATGGAGCTTATGGTAAAGAGGATGATCAGTGTCCAAACTTTCCTCCTGAACAAAAGCAAGTCTGAGCCCTGGGCCTGGGTTGGAGCTATGGAGTTTGGATTTGAGAGATGGAGTGACCTGCTAAAGACGGGGCTGAGGGTGATATGAGAGGCAGTTTCTGGGGACGGGGCTAAATGAAAAGCTGGGC